GAGGGGGGGAGGGGGTAGGATGCGGATGTGGGCCTCGCCCTATTGGGTGCTGCGGACGCCCGGATGCGGACGCCCTGGCGATTGGTCGTGTGCTCACGGGCGTGCGTTCGCGGCTGTGATTGGCCGGAGGCGGCGAGCGGGCGACCCAATCGGGTTCAAGGGGGGGGAAATTTAAATCTATCCCCCCGCCCCCGGTTCGGGGTGGGGCGATCTCGGGGTCTCAGGTCCGCGGTGCGTCCAGCAGGGGGCGCTGCCCGCCCGCCCGCCCTGCCAGGGGCGCGGGGCTGTCAGACTGCCCGGCCCCGCCGCTGTGAAGCGGACCAGAGAAGCTAAAATCGCTGCGGGGCCTGATAAGGCAGCTGGGTCGGAAGTTGAATGCCGGGAGGCGCTGGGGTTTTGTTTTTTTGGCTGCTTCGCTTCCCCGGGCCGGCGTGAGCCAGAGCAGGGGCGAAGGCAGGGCTCTTGTCTGGGCTCGCAGTGGGACGGAGCCGTGCTCAAATGACTGAAGAAGGGGCGTTCTCCCCAGTCTACGGGTGGGAAAACTGAGGCACGGAGCAATGCACGACACGAGGGGTTAATGGAAGCTTGGCGGGGGGGGGAGCTGCCCCCACTCGGGGCGCTCTGGCGGGTGAGCTGAGTGTGTTGGGTCTTGACGGTGGGGAAGGGGCCGCAGCCGGCGTGCCTCAGTTTCCACGGCTGGCCTCGCTGGAGAGCCCAGTGTAAGACCCGAGCTAAACGCACCCCCGCACTCAGCTGCCTCCTTGCAGACAGGCCCCAGCCACGGGGCTGCCTGCCCCCCAGTCCCCGGACACGCTTCCTCCAGGTGTTCGGCGCCTGCCGAGGGCTGCGGTCGGGGCGCAAACAAGCCCCCTCGCGCTCCTGGGCCTTGTCCCAGGCCTGGCTCAGGAAGAAGGCATTTCCCGAGACGTGAGTCACGGCCTGGGCCCGAGGCCCTGGCACGGTTTGCAGAAGCGGGTGTGAGGGGGGAAGTGAAGTCATGTCTTGGCTGTGAGGAGAAGGGGCTGGAGACTCGTGTTACTGGAAAGCCCCGGGATGGGGGGGCGTTCCTTTGTCTTCAGGCGGGTGCTGTGTTGTGCCCACTTCTCAGATGAGGGAGACGGAGCGTGCACGGGAGAGACTGAGATGAGCCCCCTGCCTTCAGCCTGCTCGCACACCAGCAGCTGTCTCCTCCCCTGCCCGGGGTCCGGGCCCTTCCACCCCCAGCCTCCCCCTGGCCTTGGGCTCAGCAGAGGGGAAGGTTGTGCAGCTCCTAGCACAATTATAGCATCCCAGCCCAGGACCAGGGGGTTCATGTGCTCCCCCCAGAGCCATCCTGTAGCAAACCCGTGTGTGACCCCTTTCCCCCGGGATGACGGGGGGCTGCTGATGCTGAAATCCAACCCTGCCGGCCAGTTGTCCTCCAGCCAGAATTAAAATAGCCGCTTCTGCCAGCTGCTTCGGGGCTGGACATCGCAGACTCCCGCTGTCCCGGGGCACACGGGATGCCAGGTTGTTTTGTGGGGGTGAGAGGGTGAGGGTCTGTTCAGCCTTGGATGTGCACCAAGCACTGGGTGTTGTGGGAGCTGGGCACGTGGGTTTGAACCCCAGCTCTGCCACTGACTTCCTGGTGACCTCAGGCAAGTCCCTTTGCCTCGCATTTTGCTTCCAGGCTAAAGACTGAGGCTGACAGGCCTTGCCCAGCTCTATACCCAGGGTTTCATTTTTCCCTTTCCTGTCCCAAACTGTGCCTGGCTCTTATTGCTGCAGGGAGCTAATGGAGAGCTGCCCAGGAACCAGACGATTTGTGCACCTGGGCTCCAGGGAGGGGGTTGTTGCCCCTGGCAGGGATGGGCCGGCCTGGCGAGGAAGGAAAAAGAGCTGCTTTGTCTTGGCTTCTGGGGGCAGGTGCGGCCTGTGACTCAGTTCCCTGCATTGAAATCCTGGGCCCTGCCTCTGCTCTGAGGTTGAGCCCCTTCCCCCCACCCCCAAATGCAGGGGAGGCATTAACCCTTCAGAGGCTGCACTGCCCACCCCTACTCAGGGCAAGCCTGTATGGAGTATCCGGTCGCAGCCGTGGGGCAGCTTGCTCCTGAGGCAGCCCAGAGCGGGGCTCCGAGCAGAGATTTGGGATGCAAAGTACGGGGAGAAGAGGGAACGGGAACAGGGCACACACAGGCCTTTTCTTTTTGCGATGACACCCCGCAGCTGCCTGGAACAAGCCTGGCATGGGGGGAGGCCCTGCATGTATCTGCCCAGCTGGTGCAAAAAAACCCTTGGGGCAGCTCTGAATTGGTCTCCCTGAGGCCTGACAGGCTAGAGTCCCCTCCACCCCCATCCCTGTCCAGCCTCAGCCTGATTTACCCCCTGCCGCTGCTGCCTGGGCCCCTCCTGAGCTGGGAGTGGTAGGGGAGTAGTAGTCTAGGTCCTTGCCAGGGAAACTGAGGCACAGGGATGCTCCTGGCCTCTGCCCAGGGAAACTGAGGCACAGGGTGCTGGGTGAAGACAACCAAATCCAGTACTACTGGGGTTAAGAATGGTTTCCCCAGAGGGTGGGTGGGTGGGGGGGTCAAGGGGTGGCAAGAATCCCCCTGCCTGAGGCCGGCCTGTGACTAGCAGGGACCAAGGAGCAGAGGCCACGTCTGCAGGCTGCATCCAGGGCTGCGTCCTGCACCCTGGGGCAGGGTCTCTGCCCTGCTCTGGCACCAGGCAGGGGCCACACTTAGGCAGCAGAGAAATGCAGCCGCAGCCTGGGCTCTGCCCCTGCCCTGGGCTCACTCAGAGCAGCCTTGGGGCTGCTCTAGTTCACATCCCACGGGAAGCAGACACCAAAGCCGGTGTGGGCTGGTGGGGGACCTCAGCAGTGCTGGGAGCTGCAACGGGCGCAGGAGCGGGGAACAAAGAGTGGCGAGGAGGCGAAGGAGCCTTCCAGAAGGGGATGATGTCATGGTGTGGGGGAGGGCAGCGGCTGGTTTCCTCGTTAAAGACGGACCTGATGCCGGGAGGTTGACCGCAGGCGGTGGGGGGGAGTGCACACTTTCATTGCGCTGAGACCCTTGAGGCTACCTGGGCAACGCTGCTCGGGCCAGGGGCAGAGCAGGAGTTTGCTCCCAGCCTGCTGCATCGTGGGGGGAAGCACAAGGGGGCCATTCTGCAGGGACGGGCTGCCAGCCCCCCACGAGAGCTGGCATTGCCCCGGGCTCCTACGTGCTTACCCTGCCTGCCTGCCCGCAGCTCTAATCACAGCCCTCACTTTATTACAGGTTCCTTCAGCACTGGATCCGGTACTTACTGCTCTGAAAATTGCTGTTTACCCGTGCCAGGGTCAGGCCGGGTCCAGCGGAGCGGGCGCAGGGTCTCCTTCCATCCTCCCAGCCTGCAAATCACCAGTCAAGGGGTGGCTGGGATCTGTCATGGCCGAATTGATGGGTTTTCCCCCACAGAAAAAGCCAGCTGGGTCAAAGAAGGGGGGATTTTGAGGGCACCTGCCGGGTCGGGACAAGCCAGGAGACTGGCGGTGGCTGACGTCTAGGGGCTGCTCTTAAAAGGGTGCCAAAGCTGGGGCTTGGACCTGGGCTTCGTGATACAGAAGGGACTCCAGATCGGAGATTTCTTCCTTTCTCTCTTTCTCCCCCCTCCAGTGTCTTGCGCTAGAAGCAGGCTCTGCTCTGTGCCCGCAGCATGGAAAAGTGCTTAATTTTGAATGACTTTGCAGGATGGTGGGGGGAAGGATGGGATGGGGGAGAGCTGGCGACACTGGTTTGATATCACAAGAGAAGGAAAGAAAGAAGACCGGGGATCTGTGGTGCCAGGTCCGGTGCCCTACCCAAGGCTGGTTCAGAGAAGAAATCTGCCCAGACTCAAATGGGTGTGCTGGGCATGGGGCCCAACTGCTCTCTGCCCCCTGGACTGAGCTCTGGTGCCACGAGCAGCCTCCAGGGTCTGGCAGGGGGAGAGGCCAGAGTGGTGCGCAGGATTGGGGCCCTCCAGCGACCC